CATTTTTATGGATTATAGCAGTTACCTATTAATCTATATGTTGGCCTTTTAGATATATAAAATTAATAAACATATATAAAATTAAATTAAAATACTTCTAGACACAAATTATAAACTTTTAAGTACTCAGAATATTCTACAGACTCATAAGAATAGTATAAATTTATAAAAGTTTACAAAAAAATTATAGAAAGTACATTTTTATGGATTATCGTAGTGCATTCGTGAATCTCATTATCGCATACATTAGACTATATGTTGGTCACATATAAAAAAATAAATTAAAATACTTCTAGACATAAATTATAAACAATTAAGCACTCAAAATATTCTACAGACTCAATACCATATTATAAATTTATAATAGTTTATAAAAAATCTTTAGAAAACAACTTTTTTATTGATTATGGTAGTGACCTAAAAACCGATATGTTGGACATATATAAAAAATTAATTTACAATACTTCTAGAAATAAATTATAAATATTTAGATACTTAAAATATTCTGCAGACATTGAAAAATAGTATTAATTTATAAAAGTTTATAAAAAATGATTCAGAAATAGTTATTTTATTAAAAAATCGTTAATCGAAATAATTCATTTGATTATTTTATTGAAAAGAAAATCAAGTGTCAGAAGAACCAAAAGAAAGTTAAATATTTTTATATATTCTACTTATATAATATAATATTTTAAGATATTTGCAATTAAAAATGCTAAAAAGATTCTAAAAAATAATATTTATATAATATTATTATTATTATTATTAATTGGCATTAGGAATCGAAGGTTCATTGCTTTAAATACCAAATTCCGCCATTACATAATTTAATATGCATTTATATTCATTTTAATAGGTTTATCACAAGCATTCCAAATTATAATAAATTACTTCTGAAATTATTTCAATCAAAGAACCAACCAACATTCGACATTTTTCGAATTTTCAATGCAAATCCAGATGTCTCAGTTGTTTCAATCGTTTTCCTCCCGTCACAAAAATTAAAGATTTGTAGCAGGAGCACATGAAGATACAAGAGGTATCAGGAGGTATTCGATCAGGAGTAGGAGGTACTAAATCAAGAGCGCTCATTGGTTGGTTGCCAGCCAACCAGCTCTTAGTAGACGCCCAGTCTCAAGGACAATAATTATTTATTAAAATATTAATTTTAAATACTTCTAGACATTATTTATAAACTTTTAAGTACTCAGAATATTCTACAGACTCATAAGAATAGTATAAATTTATAAAAGTTTACAAAAAAATTATAAAAAGTACGTTTTTATGGATTATCGCAGTTACCTATTAACCTATATGTTGGCCTTATAAATATATAAAATTAATAAACATATATAAAATTAATAAACATATATAAAATTAAAATTAAATACTTCTAGACACAAATTATAAACTTTTAAGCATTCAGAATATTCTGCAGACTCTTAACAATAGTATAAATTTATAAAAGTTTACAAAAAAAGATATAGAAAGTATATTTTTATGGATTAACGTAGTGCATTCGTGAATCTCATTATCGCATCTATTAGCTTATATGTTGGTCACATATAAAAAATTAAATTAAAATACTTCTAGACATAAATTATAAACAATTAAGCATT